ATATGATATAATTCCATAGATTTTATTTGATGATTTTTCATCAACTGGTCCACATAATCCTAAATCTGTAATATAACAATAACCTCCATACAACAATATATTACCACTATGTAAATCACAATGAATCAAATCTTTTTCATGTATATCATATAATGCATTACATAAACATTCAAAGATTGTAATTCTATTTTTTAATGTTAAATTAGAATGATTTTTTTGTAAATAGTCCCTTAAATTTCCCTCTTGATAATATTCAAAAATAATTGCATAATTTCCATTATCTGGGAATTTAGTTATACCATAGCATTCAACAATCAGTGGTGATTTAATTTTACAATAATTCATTGCCTGTAATTGAATATAAAATCAATTAGTACTATATAATAGTATTTATTTTTGATTTAAATAAAACTACCAACTTCATCAAAAAATGCTTTTCCTGGATTACTTGAATTATTTAAACTTTTTAATACTATTTCTTGCCTTCCAAAATAACTAAATTCCTTTTTATAATCAATTATTCTTCCCCTTGTCCATGTAGCAGTATAAATTGAACTAAATCCACCTTCTGTCAACTTTGTTATATCATCAAATTGCTCAAAAGGTATCCATTCTAAAATATAGTCTGGTAGAGAAGATTTCATTTGACATTGTTGAATAAAGTCATCAATTATGTTATTTCCAGATGTCCAAGTGGTGAAAAGACCCTGTAGTTGTAACGTAATACAACCTTCACAGAATCTCTCAGAGTATCTTGTTGTTTTACACTTGTTACATTCTTTTGGTTCACCCAATTTATCTTTTGCATTTTCTAATTCAAATTCATAAATAAACTTTTCTTTACAATATTGTTTTTCATTTTCAAAAAGTTCCTTATTTTCTTTGACTAATGAAAATAATAATCTTTTCTACTTTCTTCTTCTTCTTCAGAATTAACCAGAGCATTATTATACATTTCATTATCAATTTTATATACAAAGTTCCTTCTTTCTGGGGTTAATAATTTATCAAATGACATTTTAACTTTATTTAAAAATTTAATTTATTATTGAATGGCGAAGAAATTGAATTTTTTTTTTGAAAATGGTAGCCTACGTTTTCTGTGCAACTGCACAAATAAAACATTGTAACCTATCATATAAATAAAAATAAAAATATAAAATCACATGATAATGATTTTCGCATGACTTTTATATGAACTCCCGTTATAATGACAATCTCGTTATACTAATATTTTTTGCTTGCACGGTAAGTGTCGTTATAATGAGAGCGACTTGTATGCACCATTTTATTGCAAAAGGTTTTAAATATCCATCTACACACATTTATTCAATATCATTTATCATTTAGCATAGGCTTAGTAAATGCATTTTTTGACTCAAATTTTCTTGCAGAAGGATCAAGTAAGTGACCAAAGTGTTCATTATAAGATGTAGTGATATATGTACAGTATAAAATTCTCTAATTGCTATGCAATCTAACACTAAGTTATTAACATAGGTTATTAACTGCCAATTGCTACTTTGAACAAAACTACCAGAAATTAATTAGCCTTTACCTACAACCAAATTATTTTTCTACCCGTTGACTGTTTCCACATAAAGTTCTCTTGAAAGATTAGAAGACGATATTTATTTAATAAACAAATATGTACCCAGAACTATTTACATACCTTTTCTGTTCGTTCAATGCTTCTTCCAGTAACATTAATCGCCATATTAAAAAACACAAAAAACCAGAATAAAATCTTAAAAGCGCGAATTGATAATAAATTTCATTGGTTATTTTTTTTTGTAAATCATAACCAATTTAATATTTTTGAGGCCAATTTGGGAAATTGTTGACGAGAAAAAATAAACGACATTGCCTCTCATTTTAAATGACGAATTATTGTCAGAATGTGTAGCTTCTCATTGTATTTAAGCTGGTATATGACAACTTTTTATAAGATTTTTGAGAGAGAAAAAAGTGTAAATAAAAAACCTTTATTAAAAATTATAAATTAAATATATAGCAATTTTAAATTATCTAATTCTACGATCCAAGCTTTTGATATTCATTGGAGACTAGTATTTGTTTAAAAATTTTTTCTTTTGTTTCAAAAAAGAAATTAAATTAAGAAAATAAATTATTATTAAGACTATGACATTCAAATTTATCTAATAGCTTTCTTTTTATTACAACTAAGAAGCCAACAGCTACTAAGTTAAATATTAATAATGCTATCGCAGCCTCTTTTGAGACTGTTGCTGCCGCTGTTGTTGCCGTTGTTAAAAGCTGAACAGCTATAAATAGCATATTGTTGTTCGAATTATCACTATTTGTATTCTGGTGAGATATATTGTTGTTGTTCAAATTATCGCCATTTGTATCCCGGTGAGACATATTGTTGTTGTTGTTGTTGTTATCATATAAGATATCTATCAGAATTCTTGAACGAAAATGATCATGATGAGAATGAGCTTCTCTAGGAACACTAGGTGCATCTGGTGAAGGAACATCACCTTGGCTATTTTGATAATTCATTGTATTTTTTTATTAATTTATTAATAAACATGCAGATAAAGGTAATAACTATCCACATGAAAAACGAGGAAAAATTTTTTAATCAAAAACAAGAAAGAAAAATTAGAAAATGTGAAAATGCGATTAAAAATGCAAGCTGTAATATATAAATAAATAAATTTACATTTTAAGAAAAAAGCTAACTACATATTCGGATTAACCACACTTTAATTAATATCAATCGATTATACTTGAAAAGGAAGAATGAGATTCATTATAATAAATATAGTGTATAATATTAGTCGAAGTTAACCAGTTAGGACCCTGTTTTTTATAATGATGATCGAAAACAATTAATTTTTCGGCTTATTTTGGCAAGTCTTAAGATAAATTAATTCGATACGTCAACTAGTCACGCGAGCATGTTCCGTCGTGAACATACTATTCGGCGTATTTTTATATTTGTTAACTAAATATTTGTTGTATTGTGCACGTACATATCATAACGACATCCTTTTTCCTTTTTTAAACAATGATTTGATTTTTCTCTGAGTGATAGGATTGACTTGTGTAAGTGACTGGCGGTTGATGATTTTTTTAACTTTGGGAATAAAATATCATATTACCATTACCCTGTTTTCTTAAAATGGAGGTTGATTTGCAATAATTTAAAATAAAATTTGGAAAATTTACTAAATTACTGGATTTGAAATTTGTTACTATGGCTTGCATTTGTTTTTATCTTTAATAAATTATTTTATAACTTTTCTTTGTCCGTTTTTAATTAAAATAAAAATTTTTCCCGTTTTTCATCTAGAGATAGTTATTGTCTATATCAACACGTTTATTAATAAAAATACAATGAATAGTCAATGTGATGTTCCTTCACCGGATGCACCTAGTGTTCCTAGCGAAGCTCATTCCGATAAATATATTATCAGATAACAACAACAACAACAACATATCTCACCAGAATACAAATGGCGATAATTCGAACAACAATATGCTATTTATAGCTGTTCAGCTTCTAATAGTAGCAACAACAGTGGCAGTAACAATCTCAAAAGAGGCTGCGATAACATTTTTAATATTTAACTTAGTAGCTGTTGGCTTCTTAATTGTAATAAAAAGAAAGTTATTAAGTAAATTTGAATACCATAATCTTAATAATAATTTATTTTCTTTTAATTTAAAAAAATTTTTAAAACTAATATCAAAAACTTGGATCGTTAGAATTAGGTTAAATTAAATAATTCAAAATTATTGTAATTCTTGATAAAGTTTTTCTATTTACACTTTTTTCTCTCAAAAATCTTATAGCAATTTGTCATGCACCAGTTTAAATACAATGATCCTGACAATAATTCGTCATTTAAAATGAGAGGCAACGTCATTTATTTTGTTTGTATTTTTTTTTCCCCAACACGCTAACGAATAATTTCCCCTCAAAAATATTAAATTGGTTATGATTTACAAAAAAACAACCAATGAAATTATTATTAATTCGCGCTTTTTAAGATTTTATTCTGGTTTTGTGTTTTTTAATATGGCGACCAATGTTACTGGAAGAATTGAGCGAACAGAAAAGGTATGTAAATAGTTTGGGTATATATTTGTTTATTTAATAAATACTATCATCTAATTTTTCAAGAGAACTTTATGGGGAAACTTGATTGTAGATTTCGTTCAAAGTAAACTTATTCTTAATTAATAAAAAACTACTTAAAATCGGAATTTCCTCCTCCAAAAACAGAATAATAAACATAAAATTTATTTAATCTATCAGTATCTGATAATAATTAAAAACACTTAGATTCCTTCCTGAAAAATCAGCTTACTTTTTTTATAATAAGAATTATTATATCATATATGACAACATCAGTGACGAAGCCACTGTCATAAAGCATATTTCTAGTTAAATTCGTTAACTTTGAATTATGACATTCTTTCAGAAGCCAAAAAACCAAGCCTCTTCAAATTGTATAAAATTTCACGCGAACATAACCCAAAGTGTGTATTTTTTTTTTGTGGAAGAAGATAGTAAACATATTGTTGGAACTTTTTATATTGTTTTATAGGTAAGTGTAATAGTACAAAAGAGAAAATCAAACATAAATAAATTTATGTTTATTATTCTGTTTTGGAGGAAATTCCAATTATGTGAATATTTTAACATTATAACAATAAATACCAGTTCATTTAATCAAAATTTGAGATAATCCAACAATCTAAATCTTTATAATGGGAAAATAGTTTAGAATAAGTTTACTTTAAACAAAACCACCAGAAATTAATTAACCTTTTACCTACGACCAAGTTATTTTTCTACCCACTGACTGTTTCCACATAAAGTTCTCTTGAAAAATTAGAAGATAAATATACCCGAAACTATTTACATGCCTTTTCTGTTCACTCAACATTAGTCGTCATATTAATAGACCATGCAATTTTCTTATTTTCTTCATTAGAAAGTTCACAGAATAAAAATCTTAAAACGCAAATTTCATTGATTATTATTATATTTTTTGTAAATCATAACTACACGATTATCCCGCAATTTATCGCAAATTAATCATAACCAATTTAATATTATTTCATTTTCGAGGGAAATTTTTTGTTAGCGTGTTGGTGTGGTTAAATGGAAAAAAATAGATGGCGTTGCGTTGTCTCATTTTAAATGACGAATTATTGTCAGAATGTGTAGCTTCTCATTGTATCGGAGCTGGTGCGTGACAACTTTTTATAAGATTTTTGAGAGAGCAAAAATGCAAAATAAGAAGCTTTATTAAGAATTATAAATTAAATGACAATTTTAAATTATCTAATTCTAACGATCCAAGTTTTTGAGACTAGTATTTGTTTTAAAAATTTTTTTTAACAATAAACCGATTTAACCGACAGGAAAAAAAGAAGTTAAATTTAAGAAAAGAAATTATTATTAAGACTATGGTATTCGAAATTTATTTAATAGCTTTCTTTTTATTATAACTAAGAAGCAAACAGCTACTAAGTTACATATTAATAATGCTATTGCAGCCTCTTTTGAGACTGTTACTGCCGCTGTTGTTGCCGCTGTTAAAAGCTGAACAGCTATAAAAAGCATATCGTTGTTCGAATTATCATTCTGATTAGATCTATCATCGTTGTTCAAATTATCTCCATTCGTATTCTGGTTGTCGTCGTTATCGTATAAGATATTTATCAGAATGCTTGAACGAAAATGATCATGTCCAGAATAATAAGCTTCGCTAGGAACACTAGGTGCATCTGGCGAAGGAACATCGCCTTGACTATTTTGATAATTCATTGTATTTTTTATTAATTTACTAATAAACGTGTGATAAAGGAAATAACTATCCAGATGAAAAACGAGAAAAAATGTTAATCAAAAACAAGAATGAAAAGAAAATAATTTAAAACAATTTTAATCAAATACAAGCTATATAGTAATAGTGTATTTATAAATAAAAAATTTTGTTGATGAAAATGTACATCACTCACTCATTTGGAATTTAATAATTACCCCGAGTCGAAAGGGTTATTATTTACATTAACAAATCGATATTTTCATTTACGCCTTGAAAAAAAATTATTGTAATTTGTTACACAGTTTTTATAAAACTTATATGGTGCGAATCAGGGACGATGATTTTTTGTGTTTCACATAATTTCACAGATTTCTGTGATTTCTGTGATATAAGAAGAAATCATGTTACATCACCACAAAAATTCACAAAAAATAGGTTACATCA